CAGCACTGGGGCCTGAACTCAGGACCTTACACATGTTAGACAAGCACTCTACACTCTACAACTGAACTACAGCTCAGCCCTCTTTTTCTTTTCTTTTTTTTTTTTTGGTACCGGGGATCAAACTCAGGTCCTTGCACTTGTGCAGCAGGCAGCAAAACCACTGAGCTAAATCCCCGGCCCCTCTTTTTCTAATAAGTAGTTTGCTTCAGGTATTTTGTTGTAGTAATGCATCAGACCGAGGCAAAGCAGCTGGATGGTGGGAGGTGCACTGCGGTTGGGCGGAGAGCTAGAAGTGTCTGTCCAGGGCCAATTCCATAATCCCGGGGACAGAGGTGATGGGAAATTTTGCAGTTCCAATGTTTCCAAGTCTCCATTCTTCTTCTGAAAAGAGTGGTTCTCATTTGTCTTTTGTTGATGCTTGTTCTAGGCCTTACTATGTTTTCTCTAACAGATATATATGTTTTTCTCCATGACACTCAGATGTAAATCTTAATTAAAAATAAACCAGATGGACTCTGCCTTTGCTCTACCAACCAGAGTTGTGGGAAAATCCAACCTCAGTCACTGGAGAATGGGGCTGGGGGTTGACCCAGTCCTCCTGCTCATCCCAAGAAACATGGAAGGAAGACCTTCAGTATTTCACCCATCAAGGTCATCTCTGAGTGATTTGTCCAGGGTCCATTCAAGAGCAGGAGGCTGTCTCTCCTCCATTGACCCTGAAGTTGTTGCAGACTTTTCCAGAACTCTTACCATCTATCAAAGTCTTCCCTCAAGGAATTTAGCACCTTCTCTACCCTTCCTTTCTCAGGGAATCCAACTCTCTGGCCTGCCTTTGGCCATTCTTCCTCTTCCATTCATTCCCTTCTCCTTTGGACAGACTCAGGCCTCCCAGCAATGCTTGGGTGAGGTGGTTTCCCAGGGACCCAGGACCTGACTATACCTCTAAGAGGGAGCTATGCCCCTAGGGAATGACAATGAATGAAATGAACTAATCCAGAGAAGCAAGGAAGAAAGTGGCATCTCAGCTGTTACAGATGGCAGTGTTGGAGTGGGCTTGGGGACAGAGGGCCAGGGAGGTGCGGTGGCATGTTTTACAAAGAGGAATGACTATCATAGCAATAGCTAACACAGACTGAGGACCTTCTGTGCGCCTGGTGCTGTAGAGTAGGTTATGTTCCTCTTGCCCATTTTGTGAATGAAAGTGGATTCGTGAAACTTACCGAAGTAACTCGCCTGAGGTCATGCAATTAGCAAGTGGCTGAGCTTTCAAATCCAACCAATTTGATGCCAAAGTCATCTTAATCACTAGAGGTGAGAGAAGCCAGTTATTTGGAGGACCACAAAGTTTATTTTGGCTGGAGTACAGCGTGGGAAGGGGAAGGTGGTGCAAGAGGCCAGTGAGACAGAGAGGTGAAAGCAGAGTCCGCTGTAGCAATGTAAATGCTTGAAGGCAGCAAGCCTGGAGGCAGGGAGGTCATTTCCCTGGCTCTTTCAGTTGTTTCAGCAAGAAATGATGAAATGTTAGACTAGGAGACAATAGTAAGAATAAAAAACAATGGGAGAATTCATGAGCTATAAAGGATGAATGGACAGGTCTCTGTGATTGGTTAGACGTGGGGAAAGGGAGAGGGGGAGGAGTGAATGATTCTCAGGTTTATAGTTTGAATGAGCAGATGGATGGTACCAACCCTTTATGGTACCAACCCTTTATCTTTCGCCTGTTTGCTGTGTGTCTTTGGGGATCTCACCCCCCCACATCCCAGATGGCTGTCTTCCTAGCTACTGGCTATAAAATGAAGATAATGCGACCTGACCTCCCCACGCATCCGGATGGTGTCAAGATAAGATGAAGTCATCAATCTGGAATTGCTTTGGAAAGTCAAAAGTGCTTTGCAAATGTAAGTGGTTATTATTTTATGGTTATCTTACAATCCTCCTCCCTTCTGGGGCTTCCAGATAGACGCAGACTGAAAGCCTAGGGGAGCTGCTGAGGCAAGAGGGGAGGCAGGCAGCGCTGCCTTTTCTGTCAGGCAGATCTGTGCCTTTGGCAGGTGGGAGCCGCATTCCCACGTACTAAATTGTTAATAGCTTCCCCAGGGAGTTCCTTTCGGCTCTGACTCCTTCAGTGATTTCTGTTTCTCTACTGCTGACGCCTTCTCATGCCCTGGGTTGGCCCAGGAGTTCTCATCTGGTTTCGACTACGAGCTGAATTGGGGTTGGACTCACGACTGTCCTGAGCACCAGGGACATCACTCTGAACAGGGTGGGAAACTGCTGACTGGAGGCCGGAGTGTGGCTTGGGAGAGTTTCTCATTTTTGTTCTGGGAGGCATACAATGCAGTAGCCAAGGCACTGGGTATGGGAGTCACACAGGCCTGGCTTGGCACCCTAGAGCTGGCTGGGCAGGTAACCAAACCTCTGCCAAGTGGAAGAGTAGAGAAGCTCATGTCTAGAGGGCTGCCTAGGACAAAGTGAGATCACCCTACACGTGTTAGGCCCAGGCTACTCTCCATACTGGTCACCCACAGGATTGTATGTGAGTTTGTGACCACAAATACAAAATCCCTTCAAAGAGAAATAGCCTAGAATGCTCACATCCACGGGACAGTTATTTCTGTCCCGTCTTAGCATCACAGGGGAGTGGCTCCAGGGTCCCCTCGGACACCACCATCCACGGATGTGCAAGGCCCCTGAATAAAATGGAGCAATGCTTGCCTATAACCTACATGCATTCTCCTGTACACTTTAAATCACCTCTAGATTTACTCATAATACCTAATACAAGGTAAGTGCTACATAAATAGTTGTTAGTCTATATTATTTGGGGAATATTGACAAAAAAGTCTGTACATGTTCAGTACAGATACATTTTCTTTTTGCTCGGGGCCTTTACACTGAGCTGCGTTCCCAGCCAATTTGTTTTTTGTTTTGAGACAAGGTCTTGCTAAGTCTCTAAGTTTCCCAGCTGAGCTTGCCTCGTGGCCCTCCTGCCTCAGCCTCCCAGAGTGCTGGGGATATAGGTGAGTGTCATCACGCATGGCTTAAGTACATTTCTTTTTTAAAGATGTTTTTAACCCAGCTGGTTGAACCCAAGGATTTAGAACCTATGGATATGGATATTTTCTTTGGGGGGCAGAGTTGGAGACTGAACCCCGCCGAGGCCTTGTGCATGTGAGCCGGGTGCTCTGCCACCGAGCTACACTCGGCCCTGACTGTCCTCACTCTGGAAAGCCATTATGGAAGCCCCTGCAGAAACCTCTTGAGATGTCCAATGTGGGAGCGATTCATGTGAACCTGGCAACAAGGATTAAACCCAGCATCTTCATACTGAGCTACTTCCCCGGCCCTTCTTATTTCAAGTACTGAGATTTTAAACGCAGGGCTTTCACATCCCCAGTCCGCCTCCCTCTCCACCTTTTTTTTTTGAGACAGGGTCTCACTGTGTTGTTCAGGCTTCCCTTGTGCATCACTACACCTGGCTTAGATAGCCCTATGTAGCCCAGGCTGGCCTTAAACTCATGGCGATCCTCCTGCCTCAGCTTCTCCACATGCTAGAATTACAGGCATGGACCACCATATCTAACTTCCTTTTCATTTTTAAATTTTATTTATTTAATTATTATTATTTTTTGTGGTACCTGGGTCCTTTTTATTTTTTGAGACAGGGTCTTGCTTAATTAGCCAAGTTGCCCAGGCTGGGCTTGAACTTGCAATTCTCCCATCAGCCTCCCGAAGTGCTAAGATTACAGGTATGCACCATCACACCTGGCTCATAACTTCTCGATTGTGAGCTCTTTCCAGAGAGCAATGATCTTAATCATCTCATGGTTTAACAGCTCATGCCCATGTAGCCTTTCCCAATTGGCAGAGCATCCATTGTCTCACCAGTTCCTGCTGCCAATGTTGCACCTCCATGTTATAAAAAGCTCAGAGAGGTTAAGGAAATTCTTCATCTGTTGTGTGTGCATGTGTGCGTGAGCATGCATGTGCCTGTGCATGTGTATGTGTGTGTGTGTGTGGTACTTGGGATCTAACCCAGGGTCTTTGCACTGAGCTACATCTCCCGCCTTTTTTTTAAAGATAGGATCTTTCCAAGTCACTAAATTGCCCAGGTTGGCTCAGATTTTTGACCTCCCCGCCCCAGCAACCCAGATTGCTGGGAATACAGGTGTGTACCATCACACTCGGCTCTTTTTCTGTCTTTTGCCTCCACCAAAGCTTTCTTCCACAGCATCTCTACCAAGGAGAGATGAAAGAAATCACGCAATGAAATTAGACAACAGCAAACCCCCAAACTTTTCAGAATCATGGGACTCGGGTTAGGGGAGAGAACGGAGGCGTTGAAAGCAGTAGACTCTGAGTGGTAGGATGCAATCAAACAGGGGAGAGCCCCAAACATCATGTGCCATTCCTCATAGACCCAGCTTGGTTCTCCACCAGGGTCACCTCTTGGAGTAGATCCGTTGTTACCACTTTATCCGAATCCGTTGGAGAAAAGGGACAATTTTGCTTTGGGTCTTGATTCTGAAAGACCTGTGAGAAACCTGGCGAAGACAAGATCGAGCGCACACACTACAACAGTGCGGAGAAGAAGACCGCTGAGTTCTTGACTCGCATCATCTTAATCTCCCCAATAACCTTCAGAGGGAGGTGGTGAGGTTTTCCCTGTCATAGGAAAATGGAGAAAGCATTTGAGTGAGGTTAAGTGACTTGCTCAAGGTTACTCTGCTAGTTAGCGCAGAGGCGGGAGGTGGGAGGCGGGAGGCGAGATTCACATCCAGGTTTCTCTGACTCCAAAGGAGCAAGAGGGTGGGGAGGTGAGTCCCGGTTGGGATGGGGGCGCTTTCTAGCTGTCAGAACAGAACCAGGGAGGGGGTGGGAGCATCCCTGGCCCTGCTCCAAGCCGGCGGTGCAGCGCCCGCCCCCGGTCGCGGGCGCAGACTGGCGGCCGCCTCCGGACCACGTGGTGCACGCGGCGGGCGCGTCCGAGGAGCCCGCAGCGGCTCCTGGCTCACATTGCTCGGGCTTGGAGAGCGTGCGGACGCTGTGGGCAAGGCCAGTGCAGGCGACAAGGCAGAGGGAGGAGGCGCGGAGAACGCCGGGTGGCCGGAGCGCTGCAGCCGGCGGCGTCGGGGCCGCGGCCTCGGGCCTTCGCGCGCCTCCTCTCTCTGCTCCCAGGGCGCACGGTGGAGAGGACGCGGGGCCGGCCGCCATGGAGCCGGCTCCTTCTGCGGGCGCCGAGCTGCATCCCCCGTTCCTCGCCAACGCCTCGGACGCCTACCCCAGCACCTTCCCCAGCGCGGGCGCCAATGCGTCGGGGCCGCCTGGCGCACGGAGCGCGTCCTCCCTCGCCCTGGCTATTGCCATCACCGCGCTCTACTCGGCCGTGTGCGCCGTGGGGCTACTGGGCAACGTGCTCGTCATGTTTGGCATCGTCCGGTGAGTCCGCTGCGGGCTGACGCCGCGGGTCTGGACCCCGAGGTGAGGGTGGAAACGCGGATTTGGCACCTGGACTCCAGGCTCTCCGGTCCTCCGCACTACCAGCAGGACTCCGCGGGAGGGCCGCGTCCTATGAGAGGGGGACACAGGAATGCGCGTCTCAGCTGTGTCTGTGTGTGCGTGCTTGAGCTCGCCTAACTGAATAACATTTAATCATCTGTTGGGATCTCCTTGCTTCTCCATCAGGGTTGTGGGACAGTCTGGCAACAGTTTGTGTGTCTGTCACTGTTGTGTGTGTTGTTTGTGACAGTAGCCGCCTGTGGTCCTCACAGGGGTGGGTGGAGAAGTTCTCCAGTGTCTTGGGCCTTTGAGGGAGACCGTTGAGTGCAGGCAAGAGGCAGGAAGCCAGAACAGGACAGGGGTGTAAGTCTGCAGCGTGCTGTGGGGGCACTCACCAAGTCACATTTGGCAATCTGTTGGGATCGCTGTCAGTGTATACTCGTCCCAGACTAACAGTTTGTAATTTTCTCTATGAGAACGAGAAACTATGACTGCTGGTTTTTTTTGTTTTTGTTTTTTGTCAAACCTCTGAAACCCTAGCGGGAAGGGACATCCAGAGTGGCTTTGGGCACCTGCCTCTGCAGTGGTTGCCAGCCAAGAGCCCCAGGTTTCTGGATACAGTGGGCAGCGGCTCTGGGTTGTCGGGTCAGTCCTCTGCTCCCTTCCCCGGTGGCCATCTGGTCAGGAACTCCATATGATTCAGAGGGGACTCAGGTCCTTCTCACAAATGCCCCCTCCAGTTTCCTCTTGCCTTCTAAGTCTTCTTTTTCTGCAAAGGCAGCAATGGTTGGTTTTGAGGGGAGTGGGAATGTGCTTTCAGCCCTCGAAGTGAGTTGTCGCTTTTTTTTTTGTACTGGGGATCGAACTCAAGACCTCGAGCTTGCCAGGCAGGTGAGGTTCTCTTCTTGGTGTCTGTGGACAGTGCTGGGGTCTACCGGCACCGTCAGCTTGCCCCAGCTTGTTCCCGCCTCACACATACCCACTGGCTCAGATGTGGGCAGAAAGGGTTGAGAGGAGACTGCCATCCTTCAACGAGAAAGATGCCTGGGTCTTTATTTGCTGCTTGTTGGAAGTGGGTCTTGTGTACTGGTTGGGACACAGTCCCAATTTTCCGGGCTGTGGTACCATCAGGCAGGGCAGAAGACAGATTATGGACTCAGAGATTGGAGATGTGAACTGGGAGCTTTGGTCACAGCCCAGCCACTGAGGCCCAGGTCCATTCCTCTTGCCCCACCGCCTTTCCACCCGGTTTCCCTGTTGAAGAATAGAGAACTAATCTTGATTAGAAAGTGTGAATTCCACAGTGTGTTGAACGGTGGAATGGAATGTGTAGGTCACAGAGGGCTTTGGCACCGATGTCCTCTCTGCTCCCCCAGAAAGAGTAGAGGGTTAGAGGTGTAGTTGAGTAGCAGAGCACTTGTCTAGCGTGTGTGAGGCCCTCAGTTCCATCCCCAGCATTGAAAGAGAAAAAAAAAAAAAAAAAAAAGCAGAAGGCACAAGACTTTCAGTGACTCATCACCAGCTACAGTGAGGAAATTTCCCCAAGCAGGGGAAGGGTTGATCTTTGTGTGTTCGTCAGTGTTTCCCCACTCTGTAGGCTTAGAGTTGAGCCGACCTGAGTATTAATCCCTGCTTTGCCACCACCTGGCTCTGTGGTTTGGGTAAATCTCTTAGCCTTGTTGAACCTCAGTTACTACATCTGTTGTATGGGGTGGTAACAGAACCCTTTTCAGTAGGGTAGTTGTGAGGTGTCAGTGAGAGAACATATATAGTACATCTGGCCTGGTGCCTGGACCCGGTAAGATGGAAGCTGTTTGTACAGGGAGGAAGAAGAATTTTCTAAATCCTGCAGAACCCAGTGCTGATGAAAGCAGGGAATATGAGGGAGGCACTTGTCCTAAAGTGGACCTGAGACTCGGTCTAATTGAGAGTTTCAGGTTCCTGGCCCGTGCTTTCTCTAGGGGAGCTCTTGGAGCACCAGTGTGGGAAGAGCTGAGCACCAGCGTGTTCCTGTTTCCTGCCTTCTCCCCAGGGGCCCTGGTTGCTGGCTGATGAACACAGCTTCCCCATTACCACTGAGCAAGGCAAGGGCCTCTCACTTCTCTCTTCACTCTGGGGAGGCTCTGGGCTCAGGCTGCTAGGTGCATTCCTAATCAACCTTCTGAAAATCACTTGTCAAATAAATCCAAATGACATAGCTGGCTCCATAGTTCTTCAGCTGCTAAGACATTTCCCTGACCAACCGTCTGGATGATGACTATCTGGATCTGAATGATTTAATACTCAACTACAACCTGTGTGGTGAGCATTAGGATGGTCATTTTCACCATCTTTCCCATTTTATAGCTAAAATGAGGAATCTGCAACTCAGAGAAAGGCAAGGTAACTTGTTTTCAGGCACCACAGCCAGCGCCAGACCCAGAGCAAGGACCCTGGCCTTGTGACTCCAGGTCCAGAACTTTTTCCAGAGCTGCCTGGGGTAAGGCTCAAGCAAAGACCTGCATGAAGAAGGATGGCAGAGTCCTGTCCCATCTCCTGTTCTAGGATTCTCAGAGCATAATGGAGACCCGAAGACTGTGATCCTGTGTTATTCAGCCATGTGTTTTAGGCTGCTGTCCTTGGAGGAGGGGAGAGTATGGGGCCGAGGGGTGGGCGCAGGACAGGGCAACTGTCTAGGGCTTGGCTACTGCTGGAAAAGTCCCCAGAGCAGTGGGGAGTGAGCAGCAAAGGATGGAGAGAAAAGCTCCTGTTGCCCGAAGTGCTCCTTGAGTTCTGGTCTGTGATTCCCCAGTACCCAAATAGATGAATTGGTGGATTAGTTGAATGAATGAATGAATTCTACCCATCTGTCCTGAGCTGAGGCAGCTTGGTGGCGGTGGGGAAAGGGGGAGTTTGCAAGGGAAGATCCAGAGGATCCTTGGGGCAGCAGAAGAGGGTAGTGTAGTTGGCAGAGGTGGGGTTCTGAAGCCAGACATGAGTTTGAAGTCACTTACTAACTTGCTGTGTATGTGGGGCACACAGCCACTTTGCCTTTCTGAAGTTCGCTTCCCCATCTGTAAAGTGGATGCAAACAACAGTACATCCAGGGCTGGGGTGAGGCTTTAGTGAGATAAAGTATAAAATCTGAGCCTTTTAGACTCTGAAAACTGGGAGGAGCTCTGTGTGAAGAAGTGAAAGGAATTAATTTATTCAGTAAGTTCTGTGCAAGCATGAGGTGGGGGGGAGCCTCAATGCCCCAAGGTATGACCCTGGCACTCTGGGAAGCTGAGACAGGAGGATTGCAAGTTCTAGCCCAGCCTGGGCAATTTAGGGAGTTAGTGAGAACTTGTCTCAAAATAAAAAATAGAAAGGCCTTAGAATTTTGCTCAATGAAAAGGCCCTGGGTTCAATCCCTAGTAGCACCATCACACACACACACACACAAAAAATTCTTTGGATCTCCTGGAGCTTTGGTTGTGGTGGGAGAAACAGGCATTCATCAGCTTGTCCTCCCAAAAGCTGAAATTTGTAGCTGTGCTTGGGGAGCCATGAGGGTTGGGGAGAGTCTGACCTGGTCAGATATCAGAGGTGGTCTCTGTGGAGCGGAAGGATAAGGGGTGTAAGTCAGAAGCTGAGGGCAAGCCAGGCATGGTGGGCACACCTGTATCCCAGCTCATCAGGAGGCGAAGGCAGGAAGATTACAAGTTCCATGGCAGCTGGGTAATTTAGCAAGAGCTGGTCTCAAAAAATACAAAAAGAGCTGGAGATGTAGCCCAGCACTCCCGGAGTTTGAGCTCCACTACTGAATTAAAAAAAACCCTGAAGGCAGAGCTGTGAAAGGGAAGCATAACAAAGAAAGGCCTCAGAAAAAGAACTGGGGATCTCAGAAAGCCAGATCACAAAGCACTCTCTATTCCTCTCTTCACTCCTGGGACCCCCTGAAAAGCCCACTCATCCTTCCAGATGCCCAAGTGAGGCTCTGGGAATTGCACTCCCAGCAAACAGCCTGTCCTTCCTGGGAATGGGGCTTCCATGAAGTGTGAGCAGGATTGCTTGGGACATTGGGTGCCCAAGGCAAAGCATCACTCCCAGTTCCTGCAGTGTGAGTTCAGTTGGCCTTGGCAATCCCTGAGTAGACCCCGACAACCCCACCTGGGCAGAGCCTGTGCCCCCAGCTGGGCTGGTATCTCAGAGAATTCCTGTGGATAGCCCTCTGGGTAGGGTGGAGTGTGAGGGCTTAGTAGACCCTCCTGTCTGGCCAGTGACCCCCTCTTCTCTCTGCATGCCCTAGAGCTGCCAGGTTTCTCAGGGCAGAATGGAGTCAGGCTTTTCCACCTGGCCTCTTGTCTGTTCCCTCCTCGCCTGGACCTGTGTGGATCCTGGTTTCAGCACGTTTGTACCTCACTGTGTCTCAGCATCTCCCAGAGCCCCTGCCTCTTCCCAGCCCCAGGCTTCCTGGGAGACTGCTTCATGCTGTGTGCTTCTCTGCCCCTTGCTCTCCCCTGAACCTCTGTGTCTTCTACTTCTCTCCTTGTATCAGATGCTGGCTCTGCCACCTCCTAAGGTCTTCAGCGAGTTGGCTGGCCCCTCTGTACCTCAGTGTCTTCGTCTGTAACATGTGGATACTAATACCCTCCCCATAGCTACCTTGGTCCTGAAGCCTGGATGAGGGGATGCTGATGAAGTATGGTGTTTTCTCTACCGTGTGAGGTGGCTGGTGTGTGAAGGCAGCAGGAGAGGGTCAGGCCAGGCAGTATGGGATGGGGGAGGGTAGATGAATGAGGGGCTCTGGTTGTCCTCCATGTGTTTGGCTGCAGTGAGGAGTGGCTGGGAAAGCGCTCAAGTGTCAGCTTTTCAGAATTGGGAGCACTAAGTTCATGTCTTACCTTTGCTGGCTTAGGAAGCCCAGCATATGGGTAGGTAGTCCCACATCCTGCAGGAGCTCCGTGTGCATTTGCTGT